GCATAACAACAAATGATGATTTATAATTATGACCAGTAGTGGCCAGTGATCAACACCTCTATATTACTGGAAGCCTAAATTGCATTCATACATATACATAGCGTACTATCAATAAATGAGATTTGGGAGCTGGATAGATTTGTAACGGAGAAAATTAAAATTTACTGTGAAAATTGTAATTCTAGACGTTACTACAGTTGATCACAGATGGTTTCCACTTAGACCTAAAAGTGCCTGTCATATTGAGTTCTGAATCAATCTCACTTTATAAACATACAATCTCACCGAATTCCAGGGAATCGAAAAATTCTGATAAAATTGCCTGCATAACGTCAAACTATTTATCCAGATATTTGTGATATCCTGTTTTGAGAAGATAGGGTTTAACAAAACAACAAACAAAGCTAGAAATAAAATGTGATATGTCAAATCGCAACATTGTACAGATTCGTAGAACTATACTGAAGTTAGATATTACGCATATGTTGTATTGTTTTAATTTGTTTCTCTGCCTCAATCCATTAACACTACATTAATTGTTTGTAATGCTGTAGGATGCAGTTAGCTACCGTATTCACCGTAATTAGCACCCTAAATCCCCCTATAAGCATCCTTACCCCCTTTTGTGGAAGAATTGAAATACCCCTACCCCCACACATATCTGAACGGGGCCAGTCAAAGATTCGTAGTATTTACATTTCAAAGCAGAGATTTATGACAGGGAATGAACAATTGGCTCGACTTTCTCTGAATCATACCAAACATTTGCCTTCCAAACCTCCAGCCATACTTCGATATTTATAATGACTTTTGGTGACAACAACTGTTTTCTTTCATAACTAACATTTCACTACCCTACTAATTGCCCTACTTCTAGCAAATGTTTTTAAGAGTCCTGGGCGCTTATTACAGGGAATACGGTGTAGCTGAATGACGCAGAAAGTGAAATCTTTACTGTGTTATAAAAAATCCACTTGTCTTGTGGACTTCTTATTTATTTGTGATCTAGAAGTCTTACATCGATCATGTATGATTTCTCTTGCTGAGACATCTCAAACTATTTGTTTTCCCAAAGAATTTGTAAGATAGGAATATTTGTTTCATTTCTTTATTTTTTGGAATCTCAAAACAAATGTATTTTATTTTCAATTTCAATTAATAAATAAAATACTTTTTTTATATGAATAAAGACAAGAAAATTTATAAAAAAATGATGTAAGTGACACTTTGAGGCCTTACATTTTAATTGACAAGGTTGTCCATGTACTTAAATGTTGATAATAGTTTATAAGTGATACTTACAGCCTTTTAATGGTTATCATCTTTAACCAGAAGTAACAGATACAACCCCTTTTCATGTACATCAGTGGGTAGGTTTAAGTGTAAATTTATGTTTTCGTTCCCCACACATCCGTCAATCCACACAGCATTTTGGTTAGACTTTGCATTTAACTCAGTTTGGTTAATGCTATAAGTCATATACTTATTAAACCTTTTATATATGTTAATACTTCTTGAGGACAATACATACTATACTATCACATGACTTATCCGCTCACTGCGACCTTTCCGCTTCACTGACTTTTATTAGACTTTACCACATTTCTATGGTACTGCAATTCTCTTAGTCATCAGATTTAGGTGGTGAGATACCTTAAGAGGAATGTGTCACCATTTCTCAGTAGATTTTCTTCAAATTTTGTAGTTATATTGCTTTGAAGTAAAGAAAATTTTCTGCCACAAAAAAGATATAGGTTGTCAGAATTTTAAGGATTTTAAATGGAAATTATGTAAAAAGGAGTGAATTTTGAAAAAAAAATGAGAGACAAAATGAGAGGCAATTTTTTTTGCAAAATAATGTCAATAAAAATGATACTGCCATAGATTAGTATTGCATTAATGTATATCTATTTAATAAATGCTAAAATTGTATAAAATAAATGATCTATAAGCAATTAAAAATTGACGCTTTATAATAAAACCATATACACATAGTAATTGCATGGAAGAGTTATCTTTCTTGAAAAACTTCACAGTAACCGGTTTTCTGAAGTACAGAAAAATTGACATATTAGAGTCATTGATAAAAAATAACTGAATTAATGCCTGGATTGCTTTGAAATACTTTAATATCAAGAGAACACACTATTCTGTCAATAATAAACATACAAAATTCATCAGTTTAATATTAAACATTAGAATATGTGGAAATTGTGATACTGTCTCCCTACGTTGGATCTTCAACTAGGGATGTACTTCCTATTTCCATTTATCAATACACTCCTATGACCTTAAGGAGAACATGACATCTTGTGATATGTAGATCACTGTGACCTATATTTTTGCTTCAAAGACTCATGTTAGACTTTATATTTAGCTCTTTAAGTATTGTTAGGTTTTGATTCAGTTCTATTTTCTGAAATTACTAGATTTGGTTAGATAACCTAGACTGCTCTTATTTCTTCTATTCATCAAAGAGAGAAAATAGGTTTACATATGTTTTACAAATCTTTTCTAATATTTAGTCAGTTTATTTTTTCAATAAATGTGAGTCAGAATGGAATGCAATTTGTCAATAGATGGGAAATGGTTGTATTTTCTGGGGAATTTGAAATGTATAGGAACATACATATATATCTTTTGAAAAACACACTATGACTTTATATATAATTACATCTGTATCAGATATGTGTGTCATCCATGTTTAAATGCCTGAGTAATATCCTTTAGATAAGATCATTCGGGTTTTATATATATAGGTATGCAGTACAAAAAAACTTACCATCGGGTGTCTGTTTTGAAAATTGTCAGTTTTCTTTTTTTTATCATGCATGAATGAAATATTTGCAACTCTGATCCCAGGAAAAACTGTTTTAAGGTACGACAGATTATGGAAAACTATGTTGAATATACAATATGTATGTTAACTAAAATTTAAAAACTTTTAATCTGAATAAGAAAAATGATGAACAGCTGATAGACAAAACAAGGATTCCCGTCCCACACGCAAAGGGCAGGAATATTGATAAACTGCAATTGACAATTCAACGATACCATTTCTATGATCAATTCAACGATACCATTTCTATGATGCACAGACTTGTCAGATTTTCACGGCCATCAGATGTTTCGATAGTGACAAAAATGTAAACAAAGTCACCGATTTTACGACTTAACTTAAAGTGTGATGCCTCACCCTGATGCCTCACCCCGTATACATCAAATGCATGGCGATTTTGTGAAGGCTGGTTGAAGGATCTAATGATTTAAAACATAAACAAACTTTTATATTTTCTGCATCAAGTTTGTTTTTTGTAACACCTCAACCGGTTATATATGTAGCTACGGAGAATTTGTGCAGGTTGGCCACAGAATTTGATGATTTTAAGTGTAAACAAACTTTTACATTTACGATGTTAAGATTGTGCAGCTGCAACCCGGGGTTTGGGGGGAACTTAATGGACATGTTACTCATGAATGACTGAAATGTAATCCCCACACGAAGCATTAATCAGTCCTCCACACGCTTACGATTAAAACACAGGTCAGAGCTAGCAGGAGGTCCAGACGCATCAAGTACCCAGCACTTCCTGCTGTAAACTACATTCAGTAAAACTTAGATTTGGGATTTTACTTACGAGGACACGTCTTCTCTTATACTCAGTGAGTTAATTCACGTTATAAATAAATTGCATGTTTTACATCAGCTGAAGGATTTGACTTAATAAACTTGTACAGTTAATGGCATTTTCCTCAAGATTATATTGCAGCAAACATGATGATATTATTTGAAGTGGAGATACTTGAAATAGAGGGAGAAAAAGATTGCATGATTCAGTGAAAGTTTTAGAATTTTAGAATTTTCACTTTTTTTTAAAGGATATTTTGTATGGGTTAGTATACATATTGTGATGTCTAGACAATGTGTTCATTTATAAGCAGGTGGCTTTTATGATAAAGTTTTGAAGTAAAAAATATATGTATCTATTGCTTAACAAATATTGACTTACAAACACACTACCTGATCAGGTACAGATTACTGAGCTGAGTCTAGCTTTGGCCCACCATGAACAAATCTACCATGGATTTTTGTGTGTTTGCCTCTTAAGTTGTAACTGGACACCAACTGTAACCGCACACTTTTAACTGCCTCAGCATTTAATTTATATACCAGTTGTGAAAATCTTGAAATAAAAAGTGAAAGTCTTTTTTATTTTTATTTTTTATTTTATGGAATCAACAAGCTGGCTGCATACAAACAGAGCTTTGGACTTTTTTATGCTTTGTGAATGCAAAACTTCAATTAGGTCACTATGCGACTATCGTGGGAATTTGGAGTTTATGTGACTTTCTAAAATAATTTTCTACAGAATATAAAGTAGTGATGATTAATGAAAGGAATGTGTGATAAGGAACTTACAAATGCTAAGATGTCAAGGAAGGAGCTGTCACAGAGGATCGTAGGTGGAGCTGTCGGAGGATCGTAGGTAGAGCTGTCGGAGGATCGTAGGTGGAGCTGTCGGAGGATCGTAGGTGGAGCTGTCGGAGGATCGTAGGTGGAGCTGTCGGAGGATCGTAGGTGGAGCTGTCATGGAGAATCGTGGGTGGAGTTAATGATAAGGGTATTTGACTCGCAGACGAAACATTGCTGAGATTATTTAACTGTTGTGGTTGGAGTTTGTTAGGTGAGATACAAGTGAATGTTCCTCTGTTGTGGGCGGAGCGGTCGGTCTCTGTGAGTCGTAGGTGGAGATTTAATGAGGTTATAGTATTAACTGTCATTGATACAAGAAACAATGAGGATTTTATTTGACTGGCATGGTTGGAGTTTGTGACTTTCTAACTTATCTGGCATGGAATAGAGCTGTCAGAGGGGACTCGGTGATGAAATTATTTCACCATCTTGGTTGGCGGTTGTGATGAGGTGATGTTTGACCGTCATTGACTTGGGAGTTCGGGATGAGGTTATTTAACTGTCGTTGGAACTCTTTACCTTCCAGGTTGGCACATTTTGACTATGTCAAAGGAGAAGACCTGGAGAAGATCGGTATGGGGAAGCCCGCCATACGTCGCCTTCTGGACACCGTGAAGCGCAAACGAACAACAAGAAAGTCACGCATCTTGGAAAAGGTATGTGGAACATTCTATTATAAATATATGAAACTGTCAATTGAACAGGGGCATATAGGTGTTCAGCTCTGAATAAGCAAAATGATGGAAAAGTTGACGGAAGATGAAACCTGTCACTAATATGATCATCACAGATTTCTTCACTCCTGAAGTATCGGACAAACCTGCACAGAGATAATGAACATTTCCTGTTCACCACATAAAGATTGAACAGATTTTTTTCAATTTCATGCTGGTATGAACATTGAAAAAATGCTAATTAATCCTTATATTTAAATCATAAATTCTTATTTGTTATTGACCTAAATACAGATAATCTCTTATATTTCCGATATTGAAATGTTTATATTTATGTTGAGATTCCTGGAACAGCTTAAAATGTTGGCTTCTACCAGTTTCTCATGTCATTCTAGGCGAAGGAGAAGCTTTGAAATGACGCTGATCCAATTGCATTCATAGCCCTATAAACACAATTACTTATGATAATTCTCAAAGAGGAACTTATGGATAATGCTGCAGACATGATTGTCGTTGAACAGTGCTCATTTTACAGAGACGTGTGACAATGCTTTGTACGTACTTGCATCTTCCATTTTGACATTGTGGTTCACAATATGTTTTTTAGACAATCAGAAACTTTGATATAAGGTTCCAAGAGAAACATATGGTTTTTAAAACCCGATCTGAACATAACTGTGTGGAAATGTTTGCATTGTCACTATTTAAATAGATCAAAGTGTGATTATTTTTGCGTTGACAAAGGTTCAGTAATCAATCCTATATATATATCTATAATCTGTAAAATCTATTAGTATATATTTGCGTGTGGATTTTCGCACTTATGTTCTCAACATGAAAAATGTGAACATTTCCACACCACAAAAACGTCCACTTTACAATAACCTTGGCTCTTGTTGAGTATTATGGAGGGATATTCCTCACAAGTTGCACAAAGAAATTTACATTAACCTACATATGGTATATAAAACCTGCCAATATATAATTCTTTAAAACATTTCATGTGAGATATTGAATATAAATGTAAGCTGTATATGATGCCAACTCTATTAAGTCATTAATAATTTATTTAAAAGAAAAAGATTATTCGTTTTAATCTACTCAACAGATTCTGCCAAGTACAAAACTTTCAGAAAAGTCGAATGGGAGTAACGGCAAGAAAACATCAGGATCCCCTGTCAAGTATACCGGTGACCACACCCTCACTTGTCTCATCAATGAGCGGTCACTAGAAATGACCGTCAAGCTTGGTAATGGATCATTTGGGGTGGTCAGAAAAGGCTCTTGGACAACACCACCTGGCAATAAGGTGAACTATGTTTTTCTCTTGTTTTGTTTATGTTTGTATCTCTGTGGACGAGGTCTACCTCAAGATAAACATAAACAATATCTTCTTGCATGCAATAAAGTTAAGGATACATGCCACTTCAAACATAGTATTACTTATATCTCCTTCTCAAAAGAGTTCTTCATTGAACCGTAATCTCCTTTATAAAAGAGTTCAGTATTAAAAACAGATGGTAACACTCCAGTATTTTCTGAATTATAACATACAAGGTAATGTGTGTTGAACATATAAAAGGGAGATAACTCTGACACAGTTCAGTCATAAGGTAGCATGTAATCTTAAGACAATGATTAGAAATATCAAGTTGTTAACAATGTATTAAGTCAACCATGTGACATAACATAAATTGCTGAATCAATTTATTAACTTGCATAAAAACTAATTATCATTTAATTATATGACATATCTCACTTGAACTTGACAACATTCTGGGGTTTCCAAGAAACAATGATATGTTTGAATTTGTCTTTCCATTTCTGCTTGATTTTGATACTTTTAGTATTTCTGACCGCTTGTTATGATTAACATCTGAATTACCTCCATGAAACACCTGACATCAATATAGAGTTCCATTGTCAGGTATATAACCAGGGACTTAGACAGCAATCTAATTCCATCATATAACATAGGCTGTAGTTGAAACATGAATGTGGGAATCAGCCAATCAGAGTAAGGATAACATACAGCTATAATCAAACTATTTAATGAAAATTTTGTACATTGTTTGTTTTCATAACGTTGTAGAAAAATCAATTGATGTGTTAGTTTGATTGTTCTAAATAATAGATATATATAGAAAATCACCGTCAATTCTCTCTGGTCCAACAACATTGGCAGACAAACATTGTTTGAATTATTTTTTATCATATTGATTGAATTTGCTTTTTCGTACTGGCAGAATATATTGATCTTCAAGATATACATCAATGTTATGTAAGAGCAGAAATGACAGAACAGAAATACTGCCTGGCACAATGCCCCCCAGTTATGTAACGTAGTGCAGATCTACAGATGGAGGCAAATGTTTTCTCACTTTTAACCGACTGATCCCTAAACCAATATTGGAATCAACGAAAGGATTGAGTAGTTTACTCCATGCTATAATCCCGGGGGTGCAAGGAGTAACTGCGTTCTATTGATTCTCCTGCCATGAATGGGTTTTCTGGCCATAGACTAGCTAGTCTATTCCATACATCAATGCTGAGTTGATTTTTTTTCAAAATTTGCCAACCATTCTCATTCAAGGTAGTAATGCATCGCTTGTATATTGCTACGATGACTGAGATGTCTGTAGTTTAGATGTCTGTGGTCATTCAGCTTAAAGTAGGAGTGACCAGCATTTTGTCATCATATTTTAAGTCCTTGTGGTAAATACTGCATGGTCAATACATTAGTTACTAGTGACCAGCATGGTCAATAAATTAGTTACTAGTGACCAGCATGGTCAACACATTAGTTACTAGTGGCCAGCATGGTCAACAAATAAGTTACTAGTAACCAGCATGGTCAACCCATAAGTTTCTAGTGACCAGCATGGTAAATATATTAGTTACTAGTGACAAACTGGATGGTCAATGCAAATTACAAGTGTAAACACAAGATACTAGTGACTGCCATCATCAACTCATATTTACCAGTGACCAGCACGGTCAGCACAAAGTTCCCAGTGACCAGCATGGGCAATATATTAGTTACTAGTGTCCAGCATGGTCAATATATTAGTTACTAGTGTCCAGCAAGGTCAATACATTGGTTAATAGGGACCAGCAAGGTCAATACATTAGTTAATAGTGACCAGCATGGTCGACACATAAGTTACTAGTGACCAGTATGGTCAACACATTATTTACTAGTGACCAGCAGGGTCAATACATTAGTTAATAGTGACCAGCATGGCCAGCACAGAGTTACAAGCGAACAGCATGGTCAGCAAAAAGTTATCAGTGACCAGCATCGTCAATACATCAGTTACTAGTGACCAGCATGGGCAGCACAAAGTTACCAGGGACCAGCATGGTCAACTCATTAGTTACTAGTGATCAGCATGGTCAATAAATTGGTTACTAGTGACCAGTATGGTCAACACATTATTTACTAGTGACCAGCCTGGTCAATATATTAGTTACTAGTGACCGGCATGGTCAACACATGAGTTACTAGTGACCATCCAGGTCAATACATTAGATACTAGTGACCAGCATCGTCAGCACAAAGTTACCAGTGACCAGCATGGTCAGCACAAAGTTATCAGTGACCAGCATGGTCAGCACAAAATTACCAGTGACCAGCATGGTCAGCACAAAGTTACCAGTGACCAGCATGGTCAGCACAAAGCTACCAGTGACCAGCATGGTCAGCACAAAGTTATCAGTGACCAGCATGGTCAGCACAAAGTTATCAGTGACAAATAATGTCCTCTAATGGCATGGGGTGCATAACAGAAAATTTGATATTTTTGAGAGAAGAACTCTTCTTGAACAAGAATTGAAAACTATTAAATATTGCATGTTTATATATTTGTGCTTGTATAATTTTCTGCTTATTCATTATATAAAACAATAAAATTAATTTAGGGAATATTTTTACACTACAACATTTTCCACTGTTGTAATACTGTATATCAATTATAAGGTTGTTAATGTTTGGAAAATTTAAGATGGTTAAATATGTGAGCTTATGCGCTACTGTGGCGTCTGCCCGCCAACATTTGAGCTTTAGCTCAAGTGACCTATTGCAATCTGTCTTTGTCTGTAATCGTGCGTCGTTTGTCGTACGTCGTCCGTTAACATTTTTTCATTTTCTACTAAAGCTAAAATACTGTTGAAGGGAGGGATTTCATTTATACTTCATGGGAATGTTACTGACATCTCCCTGGCAAAGTGTTGTTATATTTGGGTCGATCAGTAAACCAATATGGCCAGTACGACCGCTATTTTGAAAAACCATTTCAAACCTTAAGTCAAGTTCTACTGGGCCAATTTAACTGAAACTTGGTAGGAATGTTCGACTCATGGTCCTTGCAAAAGTTTTTTTTTTCTTTTTCGGTTCGATCAAAAATCCAATATGGCTGCCACGGCCCCCATTTTTTTTATTCATTTTTTATTTCAAACTTAAAATCAAGTTCTAATAGGCCGATTTAACTGAAATTTTGTCTAGGAATGATAAACTCATGGTCCTGACAATCTTAACATAACGTTATACTCAACTATTTTTGAACTCAAACTGGTAGGGATGATTGATATCATTATCTCCTCTTCATATTGCAACAACAAAAATAAATACTGTAGGACTCAGGTGACGTTTAGGCCCATATGGGCCTCTTGTCCTTTTGAACGACTTCTTCTGAGGAACTAGAGGATCTAGAGTCAAGGGGTCAAATATTTAAGAGATGTTTAAATGCAACAAAAGAAAAAGATGAGCGATACAGGCCCTCTAGGCCTCTTGTTGTTAAATTGTATTTTAAGAAAATTTACAAATTTTCTCTATTTTGTAAAACTGTCTTCAGGTGCATGCTCCAATGAATAAAATACTTTGCCATGATCTCAACATTTTCTGGAATAACAGTCTTAATACATGTAATATATAAAAATAACTTTGAGAATCATTGGTGATCCCATGCATTTGAGGAATAAATGTACAATTTTGAAGCTTACTGCATTGGTTCATACAAAACATTCTGGGAATAAACCTTTACTGGCAAAATCGAAAAATGTTCAAAAATAAGTTATAGTTACTTCTATTTGACTTAAGAACACAGTAAAATGTCATAGTTTAAGCTTTTTGTTTTGTAATGAATGAATTGAATTGAAGTAAAAAATAAGATGAAGGGAATTCAGCTGATTTGACAAGTAAAAGAAGTAAAGTAAAAAATTGGGAGTTGCCCTCAAAAATGATAATCACCCAATAAATGTAGGATGTGTAAAAAAAGGAGGGCCAGGGTGAATCGCCCTTGAAAATGATTTAAAAAAAGAAGCATACACCCAATAAATACAGAAACCATATAGAAATAGCATTAACAACAGGGAGGGTCATGGTAAATTGCTCTTGAAAATATTTTTTAAAAAGAAATATACACCCAATAAATACAGGATGTGATAAATGCATAAAAAACAGGGAGGGCCATGGTAAAATATCTTAAATATGACGTTTACGTGTTAACTGATACGTTATACAGAATATAGCTCACAATGCTTAGACTCTGTATCAGCCTGCCATGTTAACGCTCCAGCCTTAAAGCTTTTACATTTCTTCACTTTTCTACACGATGCACCTGGGCTGGAAGTTGGCTGCAATCTTATCATCACTTCCTGTGCTAATTTGAAGTTCCTGTAAACACCAAGTGAATATATCTTTCAAATTGGCAGAAATTTTTTGTATAGTTTTATAATCTGTTAATTTGTGTCCATGCGCTGATAAACGAATATTTCTTACTTTTTCATCAAATTAAAAGGTTTTTGATGTTTTAAATGCTTGAGGCGTTTATAAGGCTGATGTTCAGTGTATGAATGAACTGATTGTCTGTATCCCTGTAGATGTTACAAGGGGATGATGATACAAGGCCCCAACCCAGGAATTAATTAAACAGCCCCAACATAATGTATTACATGCATGGATGATAAAAATTAATTGATTGACAAGACTGTATATAATACTTAAAGATGTTAGAAGAAAAATGAGATGTGCTCTGTCCTGAAAATTTGCTTACATTCTTTTTTGCATTTTTTATCATCTGTCAATTTGTGTTCATGCAGATAAACAAATTTTGCGACTTTTTTATTTAATTGAAAAAGCGTGTGATGTTAAATTGCTGCTGATTACGTGTTAAATGAAGGAAATGAGTTAGCACTGCTCTGACTGTGTGAGGGCAACATTTAATGTAACTTCGGCTATACAACCTATGCCACAATTAAGCCTGGTGTAGTTAAAAATAACTTTCCATCTTTATTTGTGATTGGTCAATT